GGATGCTATTAGCCTTCTTGGCCACCTGGACAGACTGCTGGCTTGTATTCAGCCGGTGTTGACCAGCATCCCCAGGCCTTTCTCCACTGGGCAGCTTTCCAGCCTCTCTTTCCCAAGCCTGTAGAGTTGCAGGGGTTGTTGTGACCAAAGTGCAGGACCCGGCACTGACCCTTGTTGAATCTCATCCAATTGGCCTCAGCCCATCCATCCAGCCTGTCCAGATCTCTCTGTAGAGCCTTCCTACTCTCCAGCAGATCAACACTCCTGCCCAGCTTGGTGTCGTCTGCAAACTTACTGAGGGTGCACTCGATCCCCTTGTCCAGATCACTGATATTAAACAGAACTGGCCCCAGTGCTGAGCCCTGGGGGTCACCACTTGTGACCAGCTGACAACTGGATTTACCTCTGTTCACCACTGCTGTTTGGGCTTGGCCATCCAGCCAGTTTTTTACCCAGTGAAGAGTGCACCCATCCAAGCCACGAGCAGCCAGTTTCTCCAGGAGAATGCTGTGGGAAACGGTGTCAAAGGCTTTGCTGAAGTCTAGGTAGACAACATGCACAGCCTCTCCCTCATTCACTAAGCGGGTCACCTTGTCATAGAAGGAGATCAGGTTAGTCAAGCAGGACCTGCCTTTCGTAAACCCATGCTGACTGGGCCTGATCACCTGGTTGTCCTGTACGTGCTGTGTGATGGCACTCAGCATGATCTGCTCCACAGCCTTCCCTGGCACTGAGATGAGACTGACAGGCCTGTAGTTCCCTTGATCCTCTGTTCAGGTCTTCTTGTAGATGGGCATCACATTTGCTAACCTCCAGTCAACTGGAGACCTTGCCAGTTAGCCAGGACTGCTGGCAAAGGATGGACAGTGTCTTGGTGAGCACTTCCACCAGCTGCCTCAGTACCCTTGGGTGGATCCCTTCTGGCCCATAGACTTCCCATAGTCGTAGATTTCCCATTCCCTATAGGAAATAATAAGTGCAGCCCAGCATATGTTTCCCACAACACTGAGGCCATCCAGTTAAGTATGAAACAAAGTTTGTGTTGCTTGCCCTGTTCCACCAGTAGAGAATTGTGATGCTATGGGTATTTTCATACTGGCTGGTTAATACAAAGTAAATGTCAAAGTGATCGTGGAGCCGGGCTACAGTATGCTAGCTACTGTAGAAAGGCAAGATAAATACTATGTCCTGAAGAGTTAAATGATTGTAGCCTAACTGTGTGGATTTGTGGCTGATTTAAATTAATTTAATCCCTTGCTACCAATCACGACTAGCAATCCTGTTGTCCTGTTGGTCATCCCGCACACACAACCTTGCTGGTACTAGTGCTTGTGCATTCACACAGTAACCTCATCTACATTAACAGATAATCTTTCAGTGTGTTTTGTATTGTCTTAGGTTTCAGCTCGGTTCCCAGGAGATGCAGCTCGTTGTGCAAGAAGAGCTAGTGCAAGGGGAGGGGACAGAAATGTGCAGCTGAAAGGGAAATACTTAGCCTTTCAATAGCAGGGTAAACCTATTGTGAAACTACACCTTAATAATTCAGTGGATGTTTTAAACTAGTGAAAGCCAGCACTGGTACCGAAAGAGTAAATCCAGCTTTTGTCTTGGTCTTCTGTTTGAAAACCACCCCTGTTCATGCTGTTGGTATTGCAGTGAACTGGCATAGCTGAAGAAACCCTTTATTTCCAGACCAGTTGTCAGCTCTATCACTTCCCTGCCCAATTTCCCAAATATCTGCAGAAAATTTTAAGTAGGCATGAAAATAGGGACGGGGAGCTAAATGGTAGGCAAGTGCAGAGGCAGGCTGCTTCATTCCATGGCAGCATTAGACGGCCCACTTGAAGGCTGAATGTGTTTGCTAAATTACAGACAACGTATAGGCAATAGTGATAGATTTGAATATAGCAAAAGATGAGAATTAGAAGGAAACAGAGACAAAATAAAATGCTAGTTAACAGTATTAAAGGTTGGCAAGAGCTGTCATATAAAATCTGGCCTTTCTGTATAAAGTATTTGAAAAAATGTAGAAGTGGTAATTATCTGAGTTTAAAGTAATGTGCAGGTATTAGGCTTACAGGCAAGATGTTGCTGTTGCTCAGCATAAATGAGACTGAGGGTGGTGGTGGTGATGTCTAGGTATGTATCAAAAATGCAACTGGACAGGCAGACTAATATTTGACAGTATGCAATCAAAATTCTAAGTAGAAACTGCCTATACATCTTTTCTTTGCTTCAATGTATACTTTCATATAAATGTGTTACCCTGTCAAACCCTACAGTGCCTCGGGACTAGGATTACTTCCTGACCAACAGAGACAACTTCTACTCCATCAACAGCACCAGCAATTTCAGCAATTACTAAGTACCCAGCAACTCACATCAGTAAGTTTTCCAGTTAATTATGATTTATTTCTCTATTGTTCCAAGGCATGGGTAAACTCATCAGCCTAATATAAATACTAGGAATATGTTTAACTTGATATTACAGGTTTTGATAATCTTTTAGTTTTTCAGTTGCTTCAACCTTTTTGGATGATAGTCACGCTAAACTACAGGACATTATTGGGCTGTGTGTATTGCTAGAAGAATCGTTCCCTAGTGCCTTCAATCCCGTTTCGTCCCATGTGGACATGGTGGCTTGTCTGTCTCAGCATCAGCTGTGGGCAGCAGAATTTGGGACCGTGGATGGATTCTAACAATATCCTAAGCTATTCTCCAGTTCCACTAGGACTCCAGCAAAACATTTTTGGGTATCAAGTCATGGGCTGTCTTGGCTCTGCCTTGCAGTATTCATATAGACCATTGGGTAACTAGTGTAAATATTTGTGTTGTTAATTGTGTGGTTTAGTACTTCGACAAACATGGTTTGATGTTTTTCTCAGGTATGTTTCTTATGATAGAGGCCTGACAAAGACAGCAGGCTTAGCCGAACTTCTGCTGAGCTACTGATTTCAGGAATTTTATGGGCACTTTCTTCCTTTTCCCACAGTGTTGTGGAACTTCATTAGTGTAACCTAAATAAGCTGGGATTAGGTTAAGGGTTGCACTGACTTTAGATTTGGATAAGCAAGAACCCAGGGAGGAGCTGTTTTTCAGTAACTGATTCTGGATTTTTTTTTTTTTTTTTCCGCTCCTCTCCTCACACTACTCAAGGAACAACATCAGGCCCTTTTGTATCAATTAGTACAGCAGCAGCATCACCACCACCAACACCATCAGTCTGAAGTGCAGCAATTGCAGATTACTGGAGGAGCACAGATACCCATAAACAACTTACTTTCAGGCACACAGGCCTCACCACTTAATGCAGCTACTACCAACCCGTTCCTTACAATTCATGGAGATAACACAGCTCAGAAGGTGACAGTAAGTATATTTCTCACCTCATTTTCAATGTAGTACCTCCATGACGTAACTAAAAGATAATAAGTTTTTTTTTGTTTGGGGTTTTTTTTTTTTTTTGAGCCTTGGGTTGCACTTAATGAGGTTCAGAACTCTGTGAACTTGTAGTCAGTTACACCTGACCTGTCAGCTGTGTGCTCCCGCTTCCCTGGATCAGGACACCAATGCAGGGACCCTTGCCTTCCTCTTGTAATTACAACTGCAGCCCTAGTCCTCCTCACCCCACCTTCTTCCCCAGCTTTGTGTCCACTATTTTGTAGACCATTCCTTTTATCAACTTCTTTGAAGACCTTGTCCTGGCTGGGTCTCAGGCACTGTGGAGCTACAGAGATTAGTTGATGATGTGAGCGATGAGGAGCCTGTTGCTGGGAAGGTGAAAGATGTATGAGGAGCATGGGTTGTGTGTCTCTTGGTTCTGGCATGGGAACATGAGGCTGTACACTGGGAAGCTGAGCGACTCCTTCGCTTGACAAAGTAATAAAACCTTTCCTAGACAGATAAGGAAACAACACACATTTTTCTGGCAAAGATGTTCCACTGCCTTCAGCATTTGCCCGTAACCTCCATCTGCAAGGTGGGAATTCTTTCTTCACGGAGTCAGAGAATACAATTCCTTCTCTAAGGGTCATACAATTAAGAGAGGATGAAGGGAAGGAGCATGTGGAACTTGTTAAAACAAAGGATGAGCAGAGCAGGAAGACAAAGTTCCAATATTCCTTGGAGAAGACATCAAGTGGCAGTGAAAAATGGGAAGCATGTCTGCAGCAGCAAATGGGAAGAGTTTGGGGCTAGATATTGGTTCCCTCTCTGCTCCCCACTCCCAGAGCCTCCAGCTACTTTAGGGGCACAGTCGTGGAGAAGGACTCTGGCAGCTGGGCTTTTCTGGTACTTCCCAAACATGAGCTGAGATCCAAACATAAGTGATGAATTTTCAAGACAGTTTTCCTGGAAACACCTCCCTTCCATTCAAAAATACGAGTGTCCACTTTCATTAAGCTTTGCACATGGTCATTGTCACTTCCAAGTTTGGCCTGTTGTTGTACTGCACACTGCAGGACACGTTCTTTCCTGATCACTGACTGTCAGAGCAGAAGCGCTCTGTCACAGGGGTTTGCCTTCATGTTGAAATGTTCACAATTTGTTCTAGTATTTTAAAAATTTATCTCCCCTCATTTTCTAAAAATTAGTAGTGACTGGAATTGAGAAAGACTCTATATTTAGTTTTGCATCAGAACAAGCTATTCTATATGTGACCTTATTTTGAATGTTTAGAAATGGCTGTTACTAGGTTCGGACAACATGACCAGGCAGTGCTAGTATATTTTACAAATATGCTGTTACAGTTTTACTTTTTTCTCTTGTAACAGTTAGTTGCAAACAATTCCAGGAAATCTCAGAACATCTTTCAAACAAAACCCTTTGAAATTGCTTTTATTTTGTTTGTAAAGGTTAGAATTGAGACAGATTGCATTGGATTGTTGAACTACTTTAATCCAAAAAGAATTTTTAACAAATTCTCTATGTGCCAGGAGTTTGAATGTTTTAATCTCATTTCCAGTTGGAACAGGTTTTCAAGCATTTCTGAATGCTCAGTGAATGAGATGAGGTTTTTGCTCAGTCCTGTTCAGTACCTGTAGGAAATGTCTGTGTTGCAGTTTATGAAAGAAAGATAATCATGATGGGAAAAATGGAAATTGTATTTCTGTTCTGATTGAGAACTGTAGATTTCAGCCATCTCCAGTGGGCAGAATGTAGCAGAGATCACCTGGTATTCTGTCTTGACCATCATGCAGCTAGAAGGAGAGAGCAAGAGCTGGGAATAGCAAGTCTCACTGGAATGAAAGTAGAAGCAAAATCGGTGTTCTCTAATGCTAGCTGTGATGACCTTAGTATGAATTCCTTCAATGTAGGGCCACTCCTTTAATTATTCTTTCCTTTCTCACTTGTTATTCTACAATACATGGTTATTCTATGCAATGCAAAAGTTACTATTTAGATAGCTCTAGTAAATGTTCCTCATCTGCTTTGTAATTTGTATGAATTTAATTTTACTTAACTCTGTATTTTATAATCTGATTTTTAGAAGTATTTTCTCTTACACAGAGGCTCAATGATAAAACTGGACCAGTTGCGTCAGAGAAGAGTTGACATTTGAATGATGCTTGAGAACTGCATGTCCTGCTGTTATAGCACTTCATCTGGCTGCAAACTGTAGTTTTCCTTTCTGCAGATTGAAGAAATGCAACAAGGAACTCTTACCGCACAGCAAAAGGTTAATAATTGTCATGAGGGTGTTTTTGGTAGGCTTTCACTTGCTTTCTTGTTGCACTAAAATGGATGTACTTCTTAATGTTTCAGACTGTGAAGTAGGTAAAACTCTGCAAACCGTAATTATTTTATCAATATGGTAGTACTAAGTACAAATCCAACCATAGAAAAACACGTACTTGACTCTTTGGTCCTAACCTTCTAAATTTAAAGGCTAGTAAACTGTCTGCAGTCATGCATTACTTTGGTTTCAGAGCAGTAGTTTTAAAAAAAACGAACCCCAACCCTGCCCAGTCTGATCTGCTGCTGCAGTTGCAATATATCCTTTTAGACTAAGCTTGTAATGGCAGCCTGGACTTGTTTGTAGTTTCTTTTTTTTTTTTTTTTACACATCTATTTTGAAACCTGATTCATAAGGGAATCCACTTCTGAACTTTTTATTCCTTTGAATTCCTGTTGTTATATAGTGAAAATTTTTCCTGAGTAAGAGTTACAGTTTGGAATCCAAAGTTTATTAATTTTGGTGTAGGTTTTAAGAGTTCTGAGGTTTTTAAAGGAACTGGTTTGGTTCCAGTGACAAAGTTTTCTTACCTGATGAGAAGGCCACACTGGAAGAAGTATGTGTAGTGTTTGGCCTAAACCAAGTGCCTGTTGCTACCTCCATTTTGTTGAGATGGCTGCAAACAGCTCATGATGCACTAGACATGCCCTTTTTGGAATATTCTGTGTTGCACCAGCAGCCTCGTTGTTCTGCCTTTACTAGAGGTGTTTAACCACTGCAGATAGCTCAGGCAGATTGTTACCTGGGTCACTTTTCATTAATAAATTACCAAAAATGCGAGTTAGTATTTCCCACTAAAATTTACCAGTGGTTGAAACGGGTGAACTTGTGTTCCAACACCTCTGACAGTAGCTGATACCATGGCGTGAGTCTATGCAGTGCGGCGAAGGATTGCTCAAATGGGGGCAATGACCACTAATCCCTATTGAGGTGGGAAGAATTAGAGGAAGAGACCCAGCTGTAATCAGACCTCCACTGTGTACTTATTTGGAAGAACATGTTAATTCTGCAATATGTTTCTTAGTTAAACATTGCACAGTTCTTACCTCATTTCTGTAAATAAAGTTTTGTGAATCTGTTTTGTATTGTTAAGAATTCATAAGAAAACATTGATATTTTGATTTGTAATATTTCTAATTAGTAGATTTAATTGAAAAAGTAAAAATAATTTATTTTTATATGTTCTGGGGAATTTTTTAAAAATGTCACAAATCACTTTTGTAGATACTTTACAAAAGCAAACCAGTGGCTTATTTTACTTACTCAGCCCACTGGTGGATATTCTGTAACAATTTGTACAAAAGGTAAGATGGAAATGTGCTGTTATTTTGACTAGATGTAAAATTCCAAGTGTATGAAAAGATATGTACAAAGCTTTTGTTAATAAACTTTAATAATGTTTATAGTTGTATACTGCTTGTGTGAATGTGAGTCTCTTAGAAGAATGGAATATTTCTGTTCACATCACATGACGGGAAGGATTTCAATTGCACCTGGCCACTACAATTTATTGCAACAACTTTTAAAAAATATTTCTCATGTCACTTTTTGCTTTCAAGGGACACTGCTACAGCTGCACTACTGTCCAGGGACATTTCTGCTTACTGGGAATAAATGTCCACAGTTGCAGCCCTGTGCCGTAGTCTGACGTCAAGGTTTCTTGCTTTGCATCCTTCAAAGAGAAGTTGCTTTGAAATTGCAGGAGGAAGCGTGAGCTGTTGCTCTGATGGCCCCAGTTCATTTTGAAATAACGTGGTGAGAGCTCTGCGGGGATGGGACGGGTTCTTTATGTAGGCCATGCCTGTGCTGAGGTGATCGAGGCCTTCAGTTGTTCCTGGAATTTTTGTACCGTTTTTTCTTTAAAACCAGCTCAATGTTTTTTTCCAGGAATTTTGCTTATTGTCCAGGTAAGGGTTGGTAAGCACACAGCTGAACTCCTGCTCTTTTATTTCCCAGGCAGCAAGGACGAACTTGACCTGTCTTGTACTGTCACTTGAAGATAAAACATGAGGTTTCTGGTAGTACAGGTTTTGGCAGACAAGGGATGCATTACGGCTTCCTCATGATTTTTAGCCCCGTGTTAGTCAGGTGTAGCCTCAGACTGAGCCCAGCTTTTGGAAACAGCAGCAGGAAGATGGTGTTGCCATAGGCCTCTGCCATTTGTATATTTGCATCTGTTCAGGTCCTGAGGACTGAATATTTTTTGGTTTATTTTCAAAGGGGGAAAACTGGAGTCCTGAAAGATGACAGGTAAATGAGGAAGCTCTAAACTAACACTAGGGCAAGGGAGGCCCCACCCTCCCGCTTCTTGAATGGCTCCTCAGCCATCAGGGCTAGAAAAAAATTTCCTACGTTCTAGGGGTAGCTGATGAACGTTTTATGCTATGAGGTGAAGAGGAGGGGAAGACCAGGCCTTTCTGCTATTAAACCCGTGCACCTTCTAGACAAGCTCTAGAACTGGTACCATCTTCTGGCTCTGCTGGGCATCGACTACTTGCTAGTCTGTGCTTAGAAGGGAGAGTACACAGCACATACCTGCTGGGCCACAGGGCTTGTACTTCATCCTGCTGGACCTGTAGCTGAGAGGGAGGAAAAGCCCAAAGTGCCCACCAGCATGAGGCCTCCAGGGAATACTGGAGTCATGGAGTGGAAGGTTACATTATGCTGCTTTATTCATAGACCTGAGCTGAAGCCAAAAACTCCATCTGGTAGACAGGAAGTATCAGTAAGTTGTCTGCTCCTGTTGGAGCAGTACCACAGAAACCAGTACAAGTGGTAAGTCCTGCTTTGACTTGTGTGTTTCTTTTAGTTGAGAGGGACTGCCTCAACGCTGGTATCAGTCTCCTGGTAAGACATAGAGAAGCATGAAAGGGGCAAAGTCGGAAATACTAGTGACATTGTCAAAATTTGAGATCGGTGCCAGAAGCCCAGGATAGCAATGGATGTTTGAGAGTATGCATAGTCCTGATGGGCCGACCATCAACAGCAGGGAAATAATGAAAAGGACAGTTCTGACAAACAAACAAAAATCCAATTCACCAGCCCTTTTTGAAAGGGACCACCTCAAAGCCAAGTTCACGTGAGGCTGCATGCAGTCAAAACCAACCTTGTTTCAATGATGTGGCAGATCCTGACATCAAAGAGGATGGTCTGTGGCTGATTTGGCACCAGTTCATGGAGGCTGCTGTCCCCGTGGAATGCCTCTGATGCCAAAGCAGCCCAAGCCGCTACGCTGGTCCCTCCTGGCCGCCAAGTCACTGATGACCGAGCTTCCCTCCGTGTCGGGAGCTGCTGTGGTTTCAGTATCATGAGGGCGGCGCAGACTAGATGTGCTGCATTTCAGAAGAGTTTCATGTTAACAGGCTTTTGAACCTTCTGCTCTTTTTTTCCACCAAAATCCAGCTTTACTGACAACAGTAACAACCACCTTATGGCTTAAAGGAGCCAACTATGGACAGCCTATGACATCACAAATCCTGGTTTTATCAACTTCATTCAAGTGCTGTTAGGAGGAGCTAGACCTAAACTAACCTAAATTAGAACACTCCTACCCTTTATGGCACCTCACGCACGTGCACTTGGGTAGGGATGTCAGGATATAACGTTACAAAATTCTGATGCTTTAGCTGGGCATTTGGGATGTATCCTCAGCATGGTACAGTAACACTGCCCCTGGCAAGGCTGCCCCAACTGCCCCTTTCCATAGAATCTTGCCTGTCCCATCAACAGGGACAGGCAAAAATGCTCAGAGACTCAGATCTGACCCATTCAGGTGCAGGTCACAGTACAGAAGCTACAGCATAAAGACCCTCTGAGACTGAAACCTTTTCATGCACAAACGTGAAAAAGCACTTTGAGCTGCAGCTTGTAACTGCCCAGGAAAGAAAAATATTTTGCTAGCAGGCAAATATTAACATTACTTAAAGGAAATCTGCATTCTGTGCTAGAACCAAAGTTGGAAGTAGTTGCTTAAATCCCAAGCCTAGAGTGACTTTGATTTTCATGGACAGAGAGTTTTAGAAAAAGGCGCTTTTAGTAATGGATACCAGAACCAGAAGAAAAAGCCTGGCTATGGCTTACTGCTTCTCTAGCGAGCATCACCTCTTGACTTTGTTCATCACAGTCCAGATCCCCTCCTAAAAGGGCCAGTTGTTTCCTCATCAAGAAAGCACCTGGCACCCCCAGGAGAGGCTCCTGAGAGGCCCTGGAGATCTTGGACTCTTGCCCACACCACCTTCCTCCCCCCCCCCCTCCAGCCAAAAACAAAAGCTGAAGCTTAGGCTGGGCTGACTCCTTTGGTTCCTCAAGGGCCAAAGGAGAAGTAAGACTGGATGGGCCTGGATGATGCTTTCACTGCATCGCTACATGGAGGGTCCCCCAGACGGGTATCTGCTCACAGAGGTTAGCTCCAGTGATGCTGGACACTGCCTCATGTTCCTCATCTCAAGCCTACCCTGCCCCACTGTTGGTGTGAAACAGCTTCCAGCTCCCAGTGACCCACCAGTGCATTGCGAAACCTTTCCTGTTCTTGACGATGAGACAGCCAGGCCTGCCACCAAGTCACGGTGCAGTTCCACTGTTGAAGAGGCCAATGCATCTCCCTTATGCAGCCTGCTTGCGGATGCTTTCAGGCAGCTTGATTCCTCAAGCAATAAGGATGCAAGCCCTCAATGCACTTCCATCCAGGCATGAACAGCACCTGGGTATGGATCCTGACACCCTTGCTGCAGGTACTCAGCCTGACACATGTAACAGAACGGCACGTACCATCTGTGCCCATCCTTAAGCATCTATACAGAGAAACTGTATGTCAGGAGCACTGCTTTAAGTTTCTCAGTGTGACTGTTCTTACAAACAAAAAAAGAGAAGTTTCTTACCAGTAAGTGATGCTGGTCCTTCCTCCTTAGGCCCCCGTCCAGAGAGTCCAGGGTGGGGAGAAGCTGAAGGTGCTGGGCAGACAGTGTGTCATTATTGCCACAGACACAGCAGTGATGGCGCAGGTACGTTTACACACGTAGGTTTTTAAAGATCTCTGATGATAAAGGTGTCAAAGTCCTCCCACGTCCTTACTACACTTCCCACTGGATTTTTGTACCCCAAGATCTCACTAAACTATTTCTCACTCTAAACTCAGCCCGTTATTAGTCTTCATAGCCACAACAGCTGTAACAGTTCTGTATTAATTGCATCAAAGAGACAGAAGATCCTTTTGCAAACTCTCTCGCTCTCTCTCCTCTACCCTTTCTTTTTTTGAAACAGCAGAAATATTCCAATTACCAGTCTCTTTTTTCATCTCCATTCGCTTGTGTTCTTCTACCCCAGCCCTATCAATGTGCCAAGTTAATTTTCATCAATTCACCAAAACCATTTTAGCAGCTTTTCTTTGCAGCCATTTCAAGTACCTTGGTTTACAGCTACAGTCATCTATCTCAGAGTGCTCTGCATGACAAATACCTTTTTAAAGTTAAGATTTCCTGATATCTCTTGAAAATACCTCACTTGATCTCACTTAAGAATCATCCTTCATAGGTGCATTAGTAGCCCAGAATTTGATCAACTGGCACACGCAGATCATAGTACCACTTCTAAATATGTTTAGTTTCCAATGCAGTTAACACGTGATGTTCTTTGTGAAACAAAAATTAGATGCATTATTTTTGGTCTAGTAAAGTTTCCATAATATCATCATTTCTACCAACTAAGATTAATTTTTTATTTATGACCAAAAAAAAGTTCCAATTGGTAAAGGAACACATAGGGAACACTGTTATCTTCCTTAAATACTTCTCCCTTAAAGTTTTTGGGAATGGGATGACATTTTGTTGAAATGCTGCTCTGTCGGAAGCAACACAATTGGAAACCAGTTACTGGGGAAATCAACAGTGTAAATGTCAGAAAGTTAATGGAGATTTCCAGCCACCAAGCTCTGATTTTGCGTTCAGATACATGATCTTCTGATTTTTCATTTTAATTTTAAATTAAAGCTCAAAATCTTTGCAGAATCCTGGTATTAAATCAGAATTTGGGTCATAAATAATTCTTCAGAAAAAATGCAAGTCCTTAATGTTTCTTGCAAAAGACTATGATCACTGCTCTGATTTACTGATATAATTTACAGCCCATTAAGTACCCTTTACTCCAGCATTTTAAGCTTTGTATAACTTGTCAAAATTATGAAAAACAAAATAGCAAGTAATGAATAATAAACCCTTATTACCTATTCTTCAAATATAAAATCAAACTATATCAAATCCAAGGTATACGAAACCCCCCGAAATATGAGAACTCGTTGCCCAGTAAAGTTACCTTTTAAGTTCTATTCCATACTTAAAAACTGGTGATGAAGTATATGCCTTATGTACCTTAAATTAGAGGCCTTCAATGTTCATTTCAACTTTATGAAATAACAGCACTACCAAATACCACTGTGATTAGTCTGCAGAGTTGGTAAAAAAGAAATTATATTGCAGGTGCATATAAATGTGTGTGGATGTTAAGATCAGAAATGCTGCTTATTTCAAAATACAGTTAGAATGAACAGACATTTCATGTAGCAGCAGACATGCTCGTAAGTGTACTGGTTTGTATTTATAGCTGCAAAAAAGAAAAAAAATATTTCGAGTGCAGAGTTCTTTGCTTAGCAGTTTCAGACCAATTCTCATTTTCAAAACAGCATTTTAAATTCTTTATATTCTGTACATTTATCAGCTGTAAAACTACCAGTTCCAGTATGCAATTATCAGTGTGGGTCTTCCTGAAGGGCCACTAATTTTTAAGACATTGTTATCCTACATCTGCATAAGTAGTTCTCCAACACAAAAATACACCTTCAGTCTTCAACACACAAAACAGGTAAGATGGCGTAAGATTTATTGATATTTTCTTTTACTAAGGCACATGACGTATAGAAATACTGAGGTACAAAAATGCAGTTTGCTGCATATGAGATTTAAAAGCCCATTTTGACACAGATGAGCTGCACTTCTTCTGCTCAGAACACTCAGCTTTTAGCCATTTTTTTCTTTTGTACCAGTTCAGCCAGCAACTTGTATCTTGCTATACAGGCCTCCTAAAAGGAAAAACAAAAGTATTCATTAAAAGTTGGATATTTTAGTGTTGTTTTAACCCTATACATGCTACCTCATTCTAGAAGAAGAGCTAAGTTCTGGGGGTTGTGAGGTGTTTTTAGGGGGTCTTCTGGGTTCTTTGTGGTTGGTTGTTGTTTTTTTTTTTTTAAAGTTGCACATTAAATTTCAGAAGGAGAAACTACATCTAGTGAAGAGCAGATGAGAAAAATGAATTTGCAATTTACATTTCTTAATTTCTCTCTTCAAAAGAAAGAGCACACAAACCCAAGAAAACAGTTGCCCAGCATTTCTTGACAATGACTGTAAAAGCAATTATTAAACAGTTGTGCTGTAATACCTATTTCAGAACAGTTATTCTGGTATGAGCCACACTGCAGAGAGGTTACCCTGCTAAAGACAAGCCGTTACGGTCACTAACATAGCACCTACTGACAACAGATACTGTTGAACAGCGTCAGAGCCACAGAACCACTCAAAACCCCCATCCATGTTTCCTGCTCTCTCTCACTGTGTTTAGCACAAATAAAGTTACGATTTTCTGCAGCTACAATGACTGAAGCAAGCAAACTAAGCTATCACAACTATTACAGAATCTAGCACAGACCAACTATGACAATGAACGCTATTTTAAAAAGATTATACTTACAAAAAGAACATTAGATAGATTATTGAGCATTTAACACTTGCAGCTGGATTACTTATTTTGTTTGTTCACTGAGATGGGTTGAGAAAGGTATTGTAAAAGTGTAAGCAAAGAGGCTCACCAACATCTGGTTACTAACTTAGAATCAAAATTTGTTTTAAAATCTAATTTGTCCTGCAATTGAAGATCTGAAAGGCAGAGGAGAAGTAGGTATTTTAAATGAAACATAAGGTATTTCAACATTTTCTGTAGCAGATCAAACTAAATTAAATGATAGTATATCATTAAATAAAAGCAATAAACATGACAGTAATGCTCTGTGGGTTGATTATGTCTGAGCTGACAGGCCAAGCAAAGACCTCACCTTTCTGCATGTACCCTCAGTTCTTCTGGTAATCATAAATTGGTAGAAAATGTTTCCCCTCAACTTATACTACAGTTCAAACAAAACTAAGTGTACCTTGCTTTTTCCAGGAACACATTTTGCTATTTTATCCCAACGATCGGATGTTCCCTTTGGATACTGCTGTAAGGCCATTTCAAGAAGTTTCTGTTGATTTTGAGTCCACAGTTCTTCTGGGGCACGGCTTTTATCTCTTTTTCTGCTCTCATCATCACTCTCATCCTCTTGTTCGGTGTTACCAAAATCCTTCTGGCGTCTTCCTCTGCCCTTCTCTTCTGATACCTCTTTCATTGCTGGTAGAGTCATTTCAGGTGCTTTGACAATTTTTCGTCTCCGGTATCTAGCCTCACGTGCAATCATCTCCTTTTGATCTATTTGGCCATACAACTGCTCTGGGATATGACTGTAGTTCCCTTCCTCTTCCTCCTCCCTTTCTCGTTGGGTGATTATGTGGTCTGGCAAACTCACATTGACTTTGACATTCCTGGAATTCTGGGCCAGCGTTTTAAGCTCAGAGAGCCTAATGACACCTGTAAGAAGTATTGTTGTTACACTTCTAAAAAAATAAAACAAACAACAAACAGGCAGGAAATGCCCACAAATAAAAGGTACCCAGAATAGTGCAGAAAGGGAAAAAAAACTCTTCTGGATTAAGAGCTTAAGGAAAACGCTTATTGAGAAATCAAGGTATTTGTTATGAAGCGATGAACTTTGCCAATTATGAGCTTATCTGGTGTATGTGAAGTACTAGCGAATGACCACACTGATATAAACAAATGTAACAGAACCGCCTGAACAAACGAACAAAACTCAAAATAAACTGAATAAGAAAGCTTAGGAGGATGTAGCTAAAGGGAAACATTCCCTCAGAATACCCATCAGTTCTTCTCTTTACGCAAAGTAAGGCAAGGTTGCAAAAGTCCCTCTGCAAAGCATACCCTGAAAGGTACCGAAAATGCACTGTATTTGCGTAACTATAATCCAAATATAGTGCTTTTTATAAGCATCAGTGAAGCTCCAGTAGCACACACCTGGTGTATATGTAACAGAATCCTTCAGCTGTTTGGCTTTCATGGTAACCTGCATGAAATCAACAACAACAAAAAAAGGACTATTAAAACTCATATTATTGGGACTACTGAAGAATTCATTAGCAGCTAACTGCAAAATACCAACATTAAACATACATTAAATACGGTGAGGCTAATGTTCTGCTGGCTTTGTTCATGTATGGATCCCAAACTGGCAAAAAGTAACTTTCTAGACTTTCTCCTTTCTAAAACATTCCTAGTTTATTAAAATAATATAAGCAGTGCTACACATTTCTATTATTATCGCCATAATACATCAGAGTTGATACTAAAATTTATTTTCTCTCATTGTTAAACCTTAATTCTCTAACCTAAAAATACCACAAGGAGAGGGGGAAAAGGAAACAAAGAAGTTATCTTCTATATATTAGTTTATCTGAACAAAAGAACAAAATAACCCATGCAGGTCCAGATGATGAAGCGTGCTACTGGACAGGCGTTCAGTCCCAAAATAAAATGTAACAGTTTGCCAAAGACCAGAAAAGATAACTCCCAAGTCCTGACATTTCAGGAAAAAAAAACTAAGAATCCGAAGGATGGAGAGCTGCCTGCTTCCACCTCTCCATGTATACCAAAATCTGTGTCCTGGGAGTAAAGTAACACCAGCTTTAGCATTTTCATTTTTACTTAATGTTGTGGTTTATCCCCAGTTGACAGTAAGCACCACACAGCCACCTGTGCACTCCCCCACAGTGGGATGGGGGAGAGAATCAGAAGAGTGAAAGGGAGAAAATTACTGATAAGGCCAAGAGGCAGTAAAAAGAGAAAAGCAAATATTCCCCAAACAAAATAGAGCAGAATAAATTGCAAGCAAAGCTGCTACCCCAATGCCAATGTTCAGTTTTCTCTATGTTGAACGTCTGATGTTTTTGGAGGCTAGCAATTATAATTTTATCTTTCAAACTGAGACTATACATGCAGCAGAAACTTGTCACTGGAAGTGGTGCAAATCAATATGCTGGATTCAAGGGTCCTTTACAAGACAGACATTCCCAAATTAGGTTAGTGTAGGTATCCCATCATAGATATATATTTTGCTGCGTATTACAGCTAATGGAGTTAGAATCTAAACCAGCTCTCTTCACTAGAACACTGAAGGATTTTGGTTTATTCTTAGATCCTAATGGCATTTCACTCTTCCCCCACAAGCAAAAAGTTCAGGAGTAACACTCTTGCCATAGGCTAATTTTTGATAACTTTAGCCATAATAACTTGGTGAACCCAGATGTAGCATTTGTAGTAAGTTATGCCATTTGTCACATCTAATATGCCCAAGACTTCCTCTTTTGAAGGCATTATGATATCTGTCCATATTTTGATGGACTTTTCAATTTGAACATCCACCAGGTAAGCCAGAAATAACAACTATGGTTTAGATATTGAAAATCTACAATTTCAAACACTGAACAAGCACCTTCAGTTGACATAAGTCTGACAACTCATCAAGCTTCTTACAGCTTTACTATCATCCTCCACAGGCTACATGAGAAGATTATTTGTCTATTATTCTCTATTTTTTTTTTCTGGTCAGCTTTCTTTTTCATATGGATGATTTTGGAAGTCCTTTTCCAGGTGCTACATAGAGTTCATGTTTACTCCAGCTCTTTTCACTTAAAAGTTCAGGTATCACTTATTTAGATTTAAGATTTACTTGTCCATCAGCTTCAGCTGTCATTGCTGTTAAAGATGCTGACACAGGGCAAGAATCATAACATGTCAGTATTAAACTACTAAGGATTATTAGGAATCCAACCTATGGAACATATGAAATTGTATTTCAATTTGATCTATTTCAGTTTAATCATTGCTCTTGCCACTCAAATTTTAAGATTCTTCTGTTGCCAGTTCCTCCATATGTTCTGACATCCTTAATATCAATTTAAATTTCTTCTCCAGTGGTGAGTAGTGTTATCTGCTAGCTAGTTTTAACAGTGATTTTTAAAAAAATCACTAAGTTATGCAACACAAGTTGCCCCATTGCTTTCTCTACTCCATTTGTTAACATAACTTGCTGATATTATTACTTTTTCATTAGGTAACAGATAACATACTTGGAAATGCTGTTATTCAAAGTAAGAAGCAGTTGTAGAATTACTCTTCTAGTTCTTATTGCTGATTGTTCCTGCATAATGCTTTAAAATTACAGTTTTCGTGTATATTATATTATGAATTTTGTCATGACTGTGAAAAGTTTTGCTAAAAGCTTGCTGTTATTGACAACAGCCTTCACCAGAGCATTAGCCAGCCCTTAAGAAATTCTGGCTCTGGGGACACCTTAAATAATATGGATCAGGACTGTGAAATTGATTCAAAACAAAAGAGGACAGATCTCATATTCCTGCAAGTATTTGTACTGCTGAACAGACACACCGCATTATTTTATAGGAATTAACTTTAAATGTTGCTGTTTCTATGCCCAAATAACCTAGGCATCTCTGTAGTCCACCAGGGATAACAGAAGTCACAAATAAAGTCAGGTAATATGCACAGTGAAACTGATTTTCTTAGACAGCGAAAGATGACAAAAAAAAAAAAAAAAGTGGGATGCAAGCAATCAAATTGCTGGAATAGAAATCAAACAACCATCTTACTATGGGACCACAGGAACAGTTTGCTTCTGAGAACTCCCTTCTGAATTCAGTTTCAATAGCTCTTCACCTACAAAAAGATTTTATTGAAAGCAAGCGGTATTACTGGGATGATTTTATGCGATGAAAGCCAGACAGAGCTGGTTTCCTCTGTACTGCTGACAATTAGTCCACATCACAAGACCAACTGCTACTCAACAAGACACCTAGCAGTAAAAAAATTCCTCATAGTGACCATCCAGATGTTAAATCTCTTGTTACCCTGGACACCTGCCACCTCTCTCAGACAGGACAATCAATCCTTCAGAGACATACAGGAGAAAAAAAAAAATTCAGACACAGCTTAAAAGACTCTCAGTAGCATAGGCAAAAGCAAATTTTTCTGTCACGTGAATGAGAGGCTACTTTTCATCCTGCAGGGAAGGCAGGCATAAAAAAGCACGGAGTTGTGACAGACCCAGGGGGAAAATCCTGTACAGTCAGGTACAGTGATCCCACTGATGCCAAACAGAGAGAACATCTGCCCTTTTGCAGCAGATGAAGAACAACTCCCCATTCCCACAGCAGCAGCCACTAGCCCATCACTGCAGCTGACCCCTCCAGCACTGTGACCAGCACAGCTTCGCAGGGCACATGCCAATGGGGTTTTGAAGCCTTCGTCATTTTGCTGTCTCCTGGCAATCTTCTGTAGGCAACAATCTACCTTCCTTCTCTGAAGAGCATATTATTTTGATCAGGGTTGCACCAGATAATTACAGAAGTAAAAATCTCTTGGGTTCTGACAACATTCTGAGAAAAAAATGGACCGTTTTCCTGTAGAGGATGAGACAACCTATGTCACTTGGCTTCCCAAATGTATATAACCTTCTTGCAAAGAAGGATGACATGTTATTGTGCTGCTGAAAACTGGAAGTCCTGATAAAATTGTTTACTATTATCAGCATCTTTCTGAGCAGAAGTTCTCTAAATATCTACTAAAGCTGCCACAGTTTCTCAGCATCAGCTATCAGAAATTTGCTGTCCCAGTAAGAGTTCTGTTCACCCAGTTGTTATTTTCTTGCATGCTCTTCGTCTGGTTATGTCATGCAAAAAATGCAAAGATCCATAGAATTATGGAAAAAAAATAATATGGAGACAATCTGTGAGTAGTTGAGGTTAATATGCAGCAATGAGGAATTTATCGAATCTTTGAGGCTAATTTGAGTTATAATCACAATTTTCTCATAAAGGAGAGCTGGACACAGAAGGATTTTCATGTCTTCCTGGCTTTGTCAAAGTAGTAGGTTTTTGCTGATCTAACCTTCCAGAACAGCACAGAACAAATTGCCAAACTGAAGTTCTCCCCTTATAACCAAAATACTACTTGCTGCACTGAGTTGTTCTACCAATCTAGATCTAAATCACATTTTCATAGCAACAACAATTGTATTAAGAACTGTTTGACCCAAGTCAGACAACAATAATGACCCACTTTTCTTGTGACAGACTCAAAATTTGTTGCTCTATGAGCTGCCTTCCCTTACGTATACTAAAAGGGCTGCTAAAATTGTCTTCCAGTTTTAACCGATTGGTGAAACGTCACATAATTAAGCATCAAGCCAAATCATTCTCCATTTTTGCAAGTATCCTAATTTGCAACTTACTAGATGTCTGGAAATGAAATATTTCAAATCAGAAGATGCACCTTTGTTTTGGCAATGCTTGTAACAGTTTGCTTAGGAGATTTTTACCAACTTTCCCAAAAGTATGTAACATAACTAGTCTTGATCCTCTGTGTAAATTACATGTTGAATTTAATGCTAACATAGCAAATACGTATTTTAAGGACAATGTGCTTCTATTCTTGAAAGAACTAAGAAACATGTTATGAATTTAACTGACTTTGCTTAGACCAACCAGTTGCAGCCGGCAACAGTACAGTTTTCTCATGGGTATGGACTTTGAAGCAGTGTGTGATTCTGAACTTTGCCACAGCAGATGGGGAGGAGGTAGCCACCTCAACAGAAATCCCCACGACTGTGAGTTTAGTTATGAGGCAGTTTAAGATATGGCTTGCAAAAAGGGCAGGTTTGGCCTAAATCACCAGATGTAGAACACCAGCCTCTCTCCAGTTTAAGTGCCCAAATAGTTAATTTAAAGCAATGAAAGAATTACTTGTTTTTCCAGGACACAGAAGGAAGAAGAACTTGGCAACTAGAATTGTCACAATGCTGGAGACTTCCTACTTTGCTTATTTTTTTGTATGTGTCAGTTAAAATCCATGTTTGAGAGTCTTCAGCTCAATACTATGGGCACTCACGTAAGAGAGGAGTTTGGCTCAAATGCCCGTTGCAACAACTGCTGGACATCATATTTCGTGACTGCAAACCTTTCCCGAGAGTCACAAGATTTGAATTCTGCA